TCTTAAAAAACTACTTAAAATATTCCAAGCAAGAATGTGATTCCTTTTCTTTTATAAATAAAAGCAATATTGACATCTGGAAAGGGAAGAAGGCTTGAGGCATCTTGAGATTAAATAAATGCTTCCTTTAAATGTCTCTTCTGGGCAACAACTAAAGTGGGTTCCTTAAGTTGCTTTCAGCAGCTGCATATAGCCTCTCGTGTCTTTTCATGCTGGAAGGCATCATCTCAGCACAGTTACTACTTCACAATACAGTCTTGTGGTTGTTTTTGCTCTTGGCCAAGCTGTTCATCCTTCATCGGTGATGGCTTTAATCCCACGCCTTTGGGAGGCTGAGGTGAGTGGATTGTCTGAGCCCGCGGGTTCGAGACCCGCCTGGGCAGCGAGACCTCATCTCTACAATAAATCAAAAAATCAACCGGGCGTGGTAGCGCATGCCTGTAATTCCGGCTACTTGGAAGGCTGAGGTGGAAGGATCACCGGAGCCCAGCAGGTCGAGGCTGCGGTGGCCGGGATCGGCCACAGAAACTCCAGTCTGGGTGACAGAGTGATCCTTCCACCAACTCAAAAAAAAAAGAGAAGAAAAAAGAACATTTTCTAGTCTTCCTGATACTCCCAGTTCTCTTGATACCTGAACGTCTTCTGAACACAAAAGCATCTTGTGAAATTTAGGGGCAGGTATTTCTGTCCCAGTCTGCAGAGTTGGTGATTAAGGGGAGCCCGAACTCGGCCTGTTTCTAGCACACAGTGTCTTGTCATTTCACCCATGCTGGGTGTATTTTTTAGCACATTGGGTTTTATGTTAAGAGGGCCTTCATGAGAGGAAGGAGGACAGGGTGGTGGGTGCAAAGAAGGCAGGAGGGAGGAAGGCTCTGTGTTGTCCCTGGAGGTTCTGTCCCTCCAGACTCCGTCCCCTCCCGACCACAGCCTCCTCATCCCTTGTATCCTCCACTTCCCGCCCCCTCCGATCTGCCTCCTACCCCCACCAAGTGCATGGACTCCCACAGACACATTTTTGACTACCCCCTCACCCCCGCCCTGCGGCCCCCACACACTCCATGTCTTTCCAAGAAAACAAATGTGAATTTTAATTTTTGCTTCCAAATGGTTTATTGCCGGGACCAGGAAAGAGCCACCAAGTCATTGTCTGTACTCTAAAGAGGAATTTTTTTTTTTTTTTTTTTGAGTTAGGTCTTACTCTGTTGTCCGGTCTGGAGTGTAGTTGCATGACCATGGCCTCAACTTTCTGGGCTCAAGTAATCCTCTTGCCTCAGTTTCTTGAGTAGCTGGGACTATAGGTATGCACCACCACACCTGGCTAATTTTTTTTAAGTTGGAGTCTCTGTCGCCCAGGCTGGAGTGCAGAGGAAAGCTCATGGCCACCCCAGCCTCGACCTGATGGGCTCAGGCGATCCTTCCACCTCAGCCTTCCAAGTAGCTGCAACTACAGGCGCGGGTCATCATGCCCAGCTAATTTTTTGATTTATTGTAGAGGTGAGGTCTCACCAAGTTGCTCAGGCTGGTCTCAAACCCCTGGACTCAGGCAATCCTCTCACCTTGTCCTCCCAAAGTGCTGGGATTATAGTATACAATTTTTTTTTTTTTTTTTTTACTTTTTGTAGCAACAAGTTCTTGCTATGTTGCCCAGGGCTCAAGCAATCCTCCCACCTCAGCCTCCCAAAGCACTGGGATTACAGGCATGAGCCACTGTGCCCAACCTCAAGCAAACAGTTTCTGGAAGCACCTCAAATGCTTCGACGCTTACATTGCCCTTCAATCCTTTGACAGTTGATTGCCAGCCATGTCAGCTTTCTCAGCAGAGTTCTATGAATGAGCAGCTTCTCAAACACTGCAGCATTTGAGTATTTTATATACAGAAAAATAAGACAATTAAAATAAAATGTAATGTTGGGAAGACTGATGGGAAACAGGTGCTCTCAGATGTAATGTTAATAGGGTAGCCATGACAACACTCTGGAGGCATTTAGCTGCATATATCAAAAACCCTAAAACCCCCTCCATATCACTAGATAGATACAGATATTGAACTTTCTTGGAATTAATTTTAAAGAAAAAAATACAGATATGCTCAAAAATGTCTGTTCAAGGTAAGGACATGTATCCAAATGTTTGTATGAGAGTAAAAAAAGAATTGGATAAAATAGTAGCATGATTGCATAAATTATGATTCATCCATATGACAAAATACCAAATAAATCATGCTAGTATAATACATGCTAGAAAAGTGCACAAGAATACACACAAAAATGCCATTGTTAATAGGACGGTGGGCTTTTAATTGAGTCTTTATACTTTTCTGAATATACCCACATTACTAGAATGAATATATATTGCTTTAATGGTAAGAAAAAAGGTATTTGAAATAAAGAAAAAAATTAAAATGGGATGAAACTGTCATGAGCCTTTACCCATCATTATGGAGAAATAATTTCCTACAAGCCTCACCTAGAGAATGCTGGGGCTTTACTAATACCTAGGTGGTGAGGTGTTGGATTAACTTTGCCCTTATTTCAATGACACTATCATCCCAACAGCTTTTGTTTATTGAGCATCTGAAACAAGCAGGGCATTGTGCTATATTTCTGCAAACTGTCTCTTTGATTCCTTGAAACAAATTCCAGGTGGATATTATTCTCATTTTGCAGATGAGGACACTGAGGCTCTGAGTAGTTAAATAAATAAGAGCTCTAGCAAGGCACTGGTTCCAAGTACTCTGTGAAATGTGGACACTTAACCCCAAAACTATGATGCTCTTTTTAGGAAGTATTAAGCTAAGCCTGAGTGTCTCTTCTCTGGATAATTTGGGGCAAGAATAAGGGGGAAAAAAAACAATTTTAGTAAGAGTCCAGCCACAATTAAGAGTTTTTGTAATTGACTGTACTTTGGTTTTATATTTGCTCTATATTTGAAAACATTATGTGACAAACTTATGTGATGCTTAAGACAAGTTTAAAAACACAAGGTGGTAAATAATTTCTGAGACTATTTTCTCAATGGGAAATGAAATCTGAGACTATTTTCTCATGGGGAATGTGACTAAAGTCTCTACCCTAATCTCAGGAATGTATCAGTGTATCGCATATAGAAATGTATACAAACACCAATCACACAAGCATGAGTCTGCTTAATCCACACAGAATACATGGATGGTAAAAGTTTATTTTATTTATCTGCAAGTGGAATCCCAAGGGCAAAAGTACTATCAAGGGAGGACAGAGCATATAATTGACATTATTGATTTTTAGTGAGGTTCCAAGTTCTTTTATTTTTAAAAATCTCATTGCATTAAGATATATACACATTCCAATGTAAAGAGACAACATAGTAAACCAACTGCACAAAGATCTCATATCTGGTATCTTAACCATGGTTATTTTAATTTTCTCATAGCTTTGGAATTTTGAGAATATGCTTGTATTATGCAAAAAGAAGAGGGGAGGAAGGAGGGGGAAGGGGAGAAAGAGGAGAAAGAGAAGGTGGTAGACAGAGATCAATTTTTTTTTCCTTGAGTGGAGGTCTCACTGAGACGATCACAGTTCACAGCAGCCTTGACCTCCAGGATTCAGGCAATCCTCCTGCCTCAGCCACCTGAGTAGCTGGGACTACAGGCGTGAGCCAACATGCCTGGCTAATTTTTTTTTTTTTTTTTTTTTTTTTTGTGGAGACAAGATCTCACTATGTTGCCCAGGCTAATCTCAAACTCCTGGGCTTAAGCAGTCCTCCTGCCCTAGCCTCCCAAAGTGCTGGGACTAAAAGCATGAGCCACCATGCCTGGCTGACCGAGACCAAATTAAGAATTCTTTGCCACTGGTAGTGAACAAGGCCTACGGAAAGACAATGGGTGGAACACAGATACCAATTCAAATAGCAGTGTCAGCTGCAGAATTCCTCTGCTACGACTCCCTACAGTCTTACTTTTTCCTGTATCTCTACAATTCATTATGATGAATGGTATCTTGGATCTTTTTTGGGAAAAAAACAAGTTCCAAATGCAAATGTTTGGTTTTGTGTGTAACATATACAATGTTTTAGTATCCATGAGATCACCCATGCTCTCTAACAGTAAAGATCTTTTGATACTCACAGTACTAACTTTTGCCAGTTCCCACTTATTCATTCTTTTAGAAGTTATTTTATACATGTTTCTTAAACAACACATAGTTTATGCAAAATATAAGAATTAATGTACATTCTCAAGGTCGGATTCCATGACAAAATGCACTACCTGAATCTAGTAACAAATTTATTCTTTGTTGCATATAATAATAATAATAATAATAATAATAATAATAATAATGATAAAACACAGGCTGCATTGTTTTGTGATCCATGCAATAAATGTTCACAAAAGCAAACAACTAGACATCTTTTGGCTTCTAAAAATTAACCCTCCCAGTAACAACAGACTTATCAACAAAAACAAAAGTACTGACAGTTTACATCAAAACCATGCTGGGCTGGGTTTGTCCTAGAAGAGCTGGTTGGAAGGGCCACCAGGAAAGCCCTAGCAGCTATGAAGTCTCCTCCTGTCTTCATGCGGAACTGAGACTATTCCCTCCTCACATGGCTTTTTCCACACCACAGGCTTTTGCCAAAGAGGCATTTCAGGCTTCCAATTCAAACAACCAACCTTTAGCAAAAACACTGAGAAACACCTCTCTTACATTTCCGATCCTGGAAACAGCTTGCCGGGTCCTTAAGGTAAATGCCAAGAGTCAAAGAAATTGCAGAACATTCTCAGGATGTAAACAGTAAGATCAATGATCAAGGAGTCAGACCCCTGGATGAAAATGCTTTATAAGAAGCCCAACTGAATAATACCAATTTCTTGGTTTTTGAAGATAATGTGAATTTTATATCCTAAAAGTGCTGTACTTTTTTTTCTATTGTAGAGACTTCCAGAGAAGATAATCAATCATGATGTTGCTTAAAACAAATACACAGCAGGAAGAAGCTACTCAAATACCAAGAGGTTTTCAGTCTGTTTTACTTTCACATTTTACTTTTGTGGTTGGCGTATGGAAAGCCAAACTGGGAAATCAGAATGTTGGAATATTTTAAGGGCATGCTGTCATAGATGTGAACAAGCTTGTTCAGGCAGTAGGACCTCTGCAGAAAGTGTTCGGCTCGGTGCCACATTCCAGAATAGCCCCCGTTGGTTTCTTTTTCCAAATTGTTCATGTTTACGGGTTTCACAAATACCCCCGAAGTCTTCCCAATGTGCTTGGCAATGATGAAATTCATGACGATATCATCACAGTTTTGCGTTTCATCTATCAATGCGTGCACAGCCGCGGGCTGCCTCTGGAAGAGTTCCAGATACTTCCTGTTGAAGAATGAGGCGCCGATCAGCACCATGGAATACTGGTCACCGCTCCCAAAGCCTGGGGTCTGCAATTCAAAACCTCCATAGCTGTAGAGACCCGAGGACGTGGAGACGTGTTTTCTAGGAACAAACCCTACAATCTGATCAGGAAATTGCTGGAAAGAGGGAAGAACAATTAAGTATGGCATCTTGTAAAACAGAGAGGACACAGTGAAAAAGGAGATGACTTACCACAGAGAGACTGAAATTGATTTGTCAACTTTTCCTTAGTCCTGGTTTCTATATCTCAATTTCTTCTAACTCCAGGAGACTTCATAAGCCTGTGTCCTGATAAGTTTTAGGTCAAATTCTATCACTACCCAAATCTTGCTGAAAACAAATTTTTCTAACCTTACAAATGTTCTCCTAACTCAAACATGATCTGATATTAACACATTCCAGTCACCAAACACTCCAGTCCTTCAAAATTTGTTGTAGGGGAAATTGATGGATTGCATGAATGCTATTTGCTGTAGGAAGTAAGATGCAGTGTGATCATTTGGAAAAACTGTTCTAATCTCTTAGGAGCATATACAGTTAGGGACCTACATGTATGATTTTACTGTCAATGTTCATAAAAGTCATTGTTGATTTGATTTGATTTTTTTTTAAGAGAGAAAGCAGGGTTTATTGAGAGGACAGAAAAACTCCCACAGTGGGAGGGGACCTGAAGAGGTTGCCCCACTGTTGATTTTAAACAATGTTACATTTTTATCCTCTTTCAGCTTGAGTGTTTCCTTTTTAAAATTATGATATAATACAAATAAATATAAACATAAAAGTTATATATATGTGAGAGAAATATGTATCAGATCTTTGAAGAATAATAGATGGTTCAAGACAGTAATATTGAAGTGAGAGTGATTAAAAACATGACAAAAATCAGTGAACAAAAGAAAAACATTGAAGCATGGGAAAGAGGTAAGAACTTACAGGACTGAAAAGTTGAGTTCACTCTTGTGAATCATTTACATTTCACTCATTTATTGAACAGACACTGAACTAGGGACACACACCCATGAGGGTGAGTTAAATCCTATTTCAAAGAACTCATAATCTAGAGAAGGTATAATGTAGACATGGGAACAAGGAATTACAACACTGTGAAAAAGTTGTAAACATAGCTGGGTACATCTGATAGGAGCACTGAGGATGGCCCACTACTGGGAAGCAAAGAGGCTGGGAGGCTTCAGAGAAGATGGACCACTGGCACAGGCAGGAGCATACATGGAATTTTACAGAAGGCTAGAGAAGGAAGAGAAAGGCACACAAAGTGTAGGCAAGACACAAGTCCTAAGATGCAGACACATGGCCCAGAGGGACAGACACATAGCCTGGAGGTGCAGAAACAGGGCCCAGAGGCACAGACACATGGCCCAGGGGGATAGACACATGGCCAGGAGGAACAGGCACATGGCCCAAAGGGGCAGACACAGGCTGGAGGGGCAGACACATAGCCCAGAGGCACAGACACATGGCCCAGAGGGGCAGACACAAGGCCCAGAAGCATAGATGAATATCTACCTTAATCCTGCATGTTTATGTACACACCCAAATCATTACATCAAGCAGGGCTTGAGTTGGACTAAATTTAGGGAGTCAGATTATCTTGGTTAATGAATTGAAATTGTTTTTCATATTTTCCTAAAGTCATATTTGTCTGTTCTAGTTTACGTGGGTTGTTCTAATAAACTCATAGTCCCTGTATTCCGCCTCACCTTTCATATTTTGGTTATGTATATTTAGAAGTACAACTCTCACAGCTGAAGTATTATATTACATTAGAGCTTTTTGCCTAAGCTGGACTTTTTGTCCAGCTTTTGTTTACAGGGCTAGAAGAAACTGCTGATATGGAAAAATTTCAATTGGTTGATCAGTACACTAGGTCTAAAGTTAAAAATTGAAGTTTTCAAAACGCTGACATCTGCAGAGTATTGTAACCAATTACTATTAATATCTAATGTTGTTATATCCCAACCATCTAATTAAGGAAAGTTACTGTAGAACAAATGAGACCACTTCCAGGGTGGCACAGTGTTTAATTATTCGACAGGGCTTCAGAGTATTTGTATGCTGCTCTGGTTCCAGGTAATGGCAGTGCAACTTATAAAAGTCAGCTATTATTAACACATATTCAATAGGAGAGAGCTGCTTTTATAGCACAGTTAGGAATTTATGTCTGTTTATTCAAGCTAGGATTTAGGAGAAAAAAAGACAAAACAAAAAAGCTGCCACCACAATGGTTCTTGTAGAATTATTAGTGTACAATTTCTAAATAGTGGTCTCAAAATCAGGATTAAATTTTATAGAGGGAATAAATGCTTTCTTTTACAAAAAGTTCTATGCAATTACAGTACTAATACTGGGGGTGCCAAAAACACACATATACATTTTAAGTGCTGTTAAGAGATGTTTGCTGACATCAGAAGTGTCTGGATGCTGATGGTCACCACTTTGAGCACCCTTTGTAATTGTAGAAGTCAAATTGAACTTGTATTCTTCCTATTGAGTATTACAATTTGTGTGTGTGTGTGTGTGTGTGTGTGTGTGTGTGTGTGTGTGTGTGTGTGTGTATGTGTGAGAGTTGGAATCTCACTCCATTGCCCAGGTTGGAGTGCAGCAGTGCGCTCACAGCCACCCCAGCGTTGACCTGCTGGGCTCCTGCGATTCTTCTTCCTCAGCCTTCCAAGTAGCCGGAACTATAGGCATGCACTACCACGCCTGGCTAGTATTACAATTTTAATACAGTTTTTTCCTTTCTTAGGTATCCTTTTTTGGGCACCTTCTGAATAGAAATACATTTCTCATTGGAGACACATCTGTGGCCTTGGAAAATATCTCTGCATCTCGTTTTTGCTGTATCAGATCATTTCCTCAATGTTCTCTCAAAGATACTTCCAGCTCTTCTCCCTAATACATCAAAATACACATTAAATAAAGATAAAAGATCCTAAAACTTTCAGATTGGCTTCACTAGGCTCAGGAAGTCTGGATTAGTCTACAACAAACTCATCTACCTTTTAGATAAATATTGTCCAGGCTGTTTTCGGGTACCTCTCACATTAAACCATGTTTCCCTGGTCGAGCACTAGTTAAGATTTTATACAGATGGTTTCCTAAATGTGACACAACATTACCTGCCAAACCGAGAAGGCAAAGACGAGGTCCTGGGCACTAATCAGCGTGTCATCGTCTACCACCAACACAGCTGAAACGAAAGGAGAAAAAATGTACATGGAACAGTCTGGAAATACAAACAAAACAGGTAAGATGACAAAAGTGTCTGTGTAGATCATTCGAATGAAGTATTTTCTGACCCGATTAGTAAATAAGAAATGTGTGCCTGGAAAGATTTATTCAGTAGAAAGTACTTTTTTCACAATTATTATTGATTTCATAACTGTCTGAGGGGAAAAATAAAAATAATCATGTAGTTATCATCCAACACCCTGGAAACTATTGAAACCAAATAAATAAACCTAAATAAAGTCAAGAGTCTTTTACGCAAATAACAGCCTCAGGAGACTGCTACAGAGGGGAGGAAGGCAGAAGTGGCAGAAACATACAAAGTATAAGCTAAAAGGCATCACACGACCTGCTGCAGTGTGATCACATGCAATTATAGCATGTCCTCTTCTACAATATTAACCTCTGTGTAATTGGCACAAGATATATATAAGTCCTTCCCAGGAAACAGTTTCTTGATATTTTGGAAATTGCTTCTCAAGCTTTTCAAACTGTTTTCTTATGATTAACTGCCTCCATGTCTCGCCAGACAGTTATGAACTAGAAGGCCAGAAATCCGCACACCCCTTCTAGGGTCATGCCAGCCTGAATGTACTTGATCTTTTCTGATCTTAGAAGCTGAGCAGGGTTGGGCCTGCTTGATACTTGGATGGGAGAAGTTCACACGCCCCATTTACAGCCATGTCACCCTGTACGCTCCCTTGTCTGATCTCGAAGCTAAGCAGGGTTGGCTTGCTTCATGCTTGGATGGGAGGACCTGCCCACCTGCCCTGGCTATGGTTGGCTGAGGCCATTTTTGGCTGAGAACCCTGCTGCAACTCACCATTGGTTTCCAGTTCGGGGAAGACCTGGAGTCGGTTCCTCATCCTGTTTGCCGACTGCTGTTTGAAGATCACGGGGACAGGGTGAGGCCCCAGAGAGTTCCATAACTCATCCGGCCCCTTCTCTCCAATGTTGTTCCATACCACGATGACTTTGTGCAGATGTGGTACTGCCTGGTAATGATTCAAAAGTCTCAGCAAGAGATCTGTTCTGTTGTATGTCTGCATTATGAGCGTAAAGGCCTCTTGGGCGGGTCGGTCCTGGGATTTCATTTCCCTTCGCAGCATGAGCAGCTTATCTTCTTTGATGTTGGGAAGTAAAGTGGTCAAGGCGCCGGCCACCAGCAGCAACACGAGGATGACCGCCAAGGAGAAGCGGAGCACTCTGACCCCCAGGACTCTCCCAGGAAGCTTGCAGACGTGGCAGCCCCTGAGCAGAAGGGAAAGAAAATGTGGCATGTCAGCATCCTTACCAGTCACGGTGTTTTTGTGTCTGTTCGGTGAGGTCAGTCTTATTTTACTTGATTCAAATTCAGTCTTCCCATCTTCCTTGATACATCAATTTGGTCTAAGATAAAAAAGTATAGTTTAATGCTCCCTCCCTTCTGGCCCTGCTTGTTTCATAGTTGCAGACAAAAATTCTTATATACACCACATTGGAAGGACTAAGCGTTTTAAAGTTTGCCTTCAGCCAGATGTGGTGGCTCACGTCTGTGATTTCAGCACTCTGGGAGGACTGCTTGAGCTCAAGAGTTTGAGACCAGCCTGGGCAATATAGCGAGACCTTGTCTCTATAAAAAAAATCAAAAAATTAGCCAGGTATGGTGGCATGTGCCTGAAGTCCCAGCTACTCAGGAGGCTGAGGTGAAAGGATCGTTTGAACCAGGAGGTTGAGGCTGCTGTGAGTCATGATTGCACCACTGCACTCCTGCCTGGGTGACAGAGTGAGATCCCAGCTCAAAACAACAACAAATATTGTTCTCAATTTATCATTAAATTGAAATTATTTTTCAAATGGGATTATATTTCTGTTTGTAGTACATGAATTTTAAACTTACATTTTGGAAGTAGCAGATATTTTTCCAGATAAAATCATATGCTGAACCATACATAAAGCAGCAAATATGATGAACTTATTACTTCTCAGGCCCTGTGTGTTTGTTTCATATGCCACAGTATGTCGTTATTCATTCAACAAGTAGCTACTGAGCACATACTTTGTGCTGGGCATTGCTCTAGCTTCTAAGGATATAGCACTTGATAACACAGACAAGGTATTTGCTGTTAGTAGCAGAGGCAATAATAGGAAGGGAGAGATAACAAATTAAAAAGGCAGCCTGAGGGCAGTGGTTATGAGGGCAATGCATTCATGAAGAGAATAAACCATAATTACATGATAAACAGATTATGTGGGTCCTCGTCAACCTCAATAAGCCAGATGGGAAGCCATCAGAGGGTTCTGATCGGGAGAGGACAGGGTCTAATTTATCAGGTATTATTATTATTATTTCCATGATGTTTAGAGAGTAAATAACTTCCCCAAGATTACTAAGTAATTTAAGTTACTAGGAGCTAGGATTGCTGTCAGGAAAGTCTGCCCCTAGAGCCTCGGGTGTTCATCATTGTGGGCTGTGAGGGGTCTACTGTCTTGATTCAATTCCAGACTAAACCAAGGCAGAGCTCTTGAGTTTCCAAACTCCCTTCCATGCAGGGCAGACCATGAGGTAGTCTCACTCCTTCTTCCTTACTATACCTAAAAGGTCTTTCAGACATGGCCACAGAAGAGTAGTGAACAAATAATTGATGAGTGAGGCCTAGCGGTTCACTGGTCAAACACTCTTGCCTAATCGGACCTCCCGCTTGCATGAAAAAAGGTTAGTTTCACAAACAGTGTTTAGAGACCTAGAACTTGGATCCCCTGGCTTCCGATATAATTGCATTTCCACACTCGTTGCTTCCTGCTGCACTGCTGGCTTTTGATTGTTTCTGCGTTTCATTCTGCTATTTCTGCTTCTGAATCCAGACTACACGCTCTTCCACAAGCCCTCATAAGCCTTTTAGAGTATGTTCTTATTTTGCATTTTGGCAGCTGAGTCTCCATCTCCATTTTGGCACATCCTGGGTCTAATCTACTCCTTCATTCAAGCACAAAGGCCAGAAGCTAGGACTGTGTACTGTTCAAAGAAATTTACTTATGAAAATACCAGAGACTAAAATCAAGCAGGAGTCTCTAAGTGACATCTTTAAAATACTTAAATGGATCTCTCAGAAAGAATGAAACATATGCGATATTGCTCTGGATGACTTTAATTGATTTGGTCTACCCCTTCTTACCACCTTTGATACAATTTTTCTTAGTCTGAATGATAAACAGATACTCTTATCTACTGCTTCATATAGACAAATACAATAAAAAGCTGGGAAAGACATCTCCCTGCTAACCACAGCTGCGACATGCTAAATGTGAAGTGCTGCTCTCACTGTTCCTGGCACAACGCTGCCTCTGCACATTTTATTTTCAGTTCTTCCCACCTTCTGGAAAAAGTGCATGGTGTGTATACACACACAGAAACAGCTAAGCTCTTGATTTCACATCTCATGGCTGAAGTCAGGCAACTGTAGCCAATCCGTCATCTATCCCATAGGCTATCCGAGACCTGTCGTCTGCCTTCCTAGGCAGTGGAATATTACACTTCAGACTAGATCTCACTTTACTTTTCAAATGATGTCCAATCAGTCTTTTGTTTTTCACGGAGGAAGCTCAGCAGTGGCTGGGTCGGTGACCACTTCATTCCTGGGACTTTCGCTTCACGCTGTGTGGTGTGTTTTGTGGTTGTAGAAAGTTTTTACTTGCTATCACTTGACATCATAGAGAGACCATATAGACCATGTCTCCAAATACTTCCTCTGAGAATGGAGAATTCTGAAGACAGGGGGATACACTCCACGATGTGACAGTGTGCGGGCCATATGCCATCACAAAGAGCTTATTCACAAGGATGAGGGAAAAGTCATTGCCATTCTTCAGCTGTCATGTTTCCATGGTCCAGATTTGAAAGGCAACGTTACCCTAATGGTAAGCTGTTTGGAGAACTTTTTTTTTTTTTTTTTGAGTTGGAGTCTCACTCTGTCGCTCAGACTGGAGTGCAGTGGCCGCTCCCGGCCACCACAGCCTCGACCTGCTGGGCTCTGGCGATCCTTCCACCTCAGCCTTACAAGTAGCTGGTACTACAGGTGCATGCTACCACACCCGGCTAATTTTTGATTTATTGTAGAGATGAGGTCTCGCCAAGTTGCCCAGGTGGGTCTCGAACCCGCGGGTTCAGGCAATCCACTCACCTTGGCCTCCCAAGATGCGGGATTACAGGCTGAGCCACCAAGCCCGGCCTGGAGAGCTTTCAAGAGTGTCTCTCCCAGACTTTCTTTGCAGCTTGTTCTATTAAGAACAGCAATTTTGTGTTTCCGCTTCTATCATGGCCTTGCTTGAATAAAATGAATTATTTTTGAAGTAACCTTAGCTTTACCATGATTACTTTTCAAGGACAGTAATCTAAAGCTTTAGAGCACAATGTTTTCACTTTACATACCCTCTAAAACAACACATACTGTTAATATAGTCAACTAAAGACAAACCATTATGAATTAATAATCTTGGTTCAAAGTCCTTGAAAATTCTTTTGATACTGAATCAGAAGCAGGTCCCATAAAACATAATTCCAGCTCTACATAAAAAATGGCCAGTTATAGCCAGGCTTGGTGGCTCAGCCTGTAATCCCACGTTTTGGGAGGCTGAGGTGAGTGAATTGCCTGAGCCCATAGGTTCGAGACCCGCCTGGGCAACATCTTTACAATAAATCAAAAAAACTAGCCGGGCGTGGTAGCGTGCACCTGTAGTTCCAGCTACTTGGAAGGCTGAGGCAGAAGGATCGCCGGAGCCTAGCAGGTCGAGGCTGCGGTGGCCGGGAGCGGCCACTGCACTCCAGTCTGGGTGACAGAGTGAGACTCCGACTCAAAAAAAAAAAGGCCAGTTATAAGCACTCAAAGAACTGTTTTGACAATTACATTAAAGTATACCACAATTAAGATCATATTCATTTTCTGCAGTTGAGTAGGAATAGCATATGTTAAAATTCACGTGTCTCTAAAGTAGACACTAACAACTTACTGTCTGGCGGTTTTAGTCTAGAGAAAGTCATGAAGATGAATCATCATAGCTTACTGCACTGTCAAGGCACGCATGCATGACCGCTCCCTTTTCATCGATAGTTTTAAGTAGGAGTTTATCCCTCTACCCATCATAGAAATGTCCTCTCTAATCCCTCATTTTACCTGTGTCAGAAAGGTTTCAGGAGACATGAATAATTTATGACTTAAAAAATAATGTGTAAATATTTCATGTGGCATTTATTAAATAATGCAGCCCAATAAAATTATGTAAATGTTTTTAGTTTGTATAGAGAAGCAAGAAAAGCTTTACAGGCTACAGTGTAAGTGGCATACTGTCCTTTGGGAATAGCTGACATCTAGAACTCTGCAGCAGGCCATGAGAAGCAGCTTCAGTGCAGTTTGGAGAGTAACGACAACTTAGGGTTATGTGAATTTCACAGTCTATAGCCTTCTTCTATTCTTTTCATTAAAAAAAATTTTTTTATTTTTTCTTTTGAGTCGAGGTCTCACTCTGTCACCCAGGCTGGAGTGCCGTGACACGATCATGGCTCACTGCAGCCTCTAACCCTGAGCTTGAAAAATCCTTCTCCTGAGAAGCTGGGACTACAAGTGTGCATCACCATGCCCAGCTAGCTTTTTTTATTTTCTTGTAGAGACAAGGTCTCCCTATGTTGCCCAGACTAGTCTTGACCTCCTGGGCTCAAGCAGTCCTCCTGCCTAGGCCTCCCAAAGTGCTGGGATGACAGGCATAAGCTATTACACCCCGCCCTCTTCTAGTCTTTTCTGAGAGAAATAACCTATCATTGAATTCACAGCTTTGAGCTTTGAACAGGAGGTAGGAGGAAGAATGCATCGGGAGGACCTGTGTCTCACTGGGGAAGAACCAGCAGGTAAATGGAGGCACGTCCCACTCCTTCTAGCTCCCGATTCCTAAACTTTCCCTTGAGGTTCTGGCTTCCCCTTTTTAAAGTTATGTCTGTGTAGATTTACTGACACCTTGCCTCATTCCAAAAAGGATCTGACAGCTCTTGGTCTATCTCCTTTCTGTCCTTCTCCCATCCCCATGACTACAGTGATTAAATATAACTCTGATAAACACAGTAAATGTCAGTAAAACAAAAATCTTTCCTTTCTCATTATTATCTGAAAAATCAAAGATTCTCCCAGTGATGTTTTTTGCGCTTGTGTTAATGTATTCATTTTTCATTGGTAGAGCACACACCCTTCTATACTGTTATTCAGCATCTCCTGCACCAAGGGTGT